TAGCCACACTAAAATATGACGAGCGTTTTTCCGAAAAAGGAATTTCAGGAGATACCGTAAATTTATCGAGAATTTATCTTACTGTCTATCGAGATCGAGTCTATCGAGAATTGTCTATCAAACAAGCTACCTATCTTAGCACAACCGAACTATATACGAACTTATGCAGGCTCTGAAACTACTAAGGTCTCGTCTAAGGAATGCGAACAGAGTTCTTCTGAGGAAAAGCCGACGAATGGAAGAGCGGAGAAGAAAAAAGACTCTGTGTTTACAGCCTGTCATGTGACTATCAAAGTGAGACCGGCTTGCTTATGATCAATTTTTTCATAATATTTATGCTGAGTACACTGTTTTTTTTAATTATTTTTTATTCCAGGAAGTATTTTTTGCTTTACGCCTTTTGATAGTATGACTATTAACTTTATTAAGGTTCAATATAGTCCAATTCTTCTCAATTCTTCGACTACAACACTCATTGTTGTCACTTCATCGTTTTATGCTTTTATGATATATTCAAGCAGAACCCCGAGTTCACGCAGCTATGCGTCTAGTTATAGATTGAATTTACATCATATTTCCATTAAATCAACAATCTTCAAGGAACGTGTAAATTTTTTCCATCTTTCCAGTGAAATTGAGTGATACGATAGTTGTTTATTTTGGCGTAGTGCACGCGGGGATGCAACGGTGTTGTCGAGTGATCTTGAGAACTCTATTTTGTTCCATTCCCCGGGCATCATATGTGGAACGGGTTGGTTTTTCGTCCCTATGTAAAAACGATTTATCGATCTAAGCTGTGCTCCAACTATCTTTGATATTCTTTTTTATTTTAATTTATTATGTGTAAATATAACCAATATCAATACCATAAGTGGCTCAGCACGACCGACTTAAACCTTTTTTGATATTTCTGCAGGTGGAAGACAATAAAGAGTACTCGGACTTCAAACTTCCCAAAATGTACAAAGCTAATTGCCCAACCAACAAGAAAGGGACGTTCCTTGATCCTAAATTTAGCTAAAAACGTATGCAGTATCAACATGCGATCTTAAGGAAACAAAATTGATTGAATTGATGATAAATATCAGTTCATATTCATGATATATTGAGTAAAGCATTGCCATCTAAAACAGCTATAACCAAATAAAAGATTTGTAGACAAAAATAATAATTGTAAACACAGTACAGAAATAAACCTTAATACAGGTCAAAACCAAATAACATCTTAATTTATTAAACTGAATTATTTTCAAAAAATGTCAAAAAAATCATTTCTAAAAGTAGCCGTTTTAAAAAGTCTGCGTGACGAACCAAGGAACAGGGTCTGAATGGGGTTAACCGACTAGCGACAAATGGAAAAAATAACTACCGACTAGCGACAAACGGACAAAATAACTACTGACTAGCGACAAACGGACAGAATAACTACTGACTAGCGACAAATGGACAAAATAACTACTGACTAGCGACATTAACAAATTTACTGGCGACATTTTCCTTAAAATAAATATTTTTAGGCAATATTCAAAGTTAGTATAATTTCATAAGTGAATATCATAATTCTAGCGCGCTGATTGGTCGAATTTGACGCTTCAATGAGCGATGTTCACCTATAGGTGAATATTGGATTTTTTCGCAAAATGATTAGTGATTATCATTAATGAATATTTACCTCGCGGCTCGCGGAATCGCCGCTCGGTAAATATTCATTGATAATCACTTCGCCTTCGGCGAATAATTGTTAAATATTAGCTTCTTGAATACACATATATATATGGGGAGGGGAAAATTATTTTTAAAAAACCCATTTATAATGCATTGTGACACTGAATAAAATAAAAGTAGACTATTTTTTAAGTAAAATGTT